ACTCTTTCCACAGACACAGTTTGTCCTGTTAACTCCCTCCCACACACTTGCATGCATAATATCAAAAGAAACTTCTGTGTTAGGATGCAGACAGCTATGTTTTATGTTTTCATCTGTAAGGTAAAAAGACGCTTTCTGATTATGTTTGTGCAACGCTGTGCATTCGCGGCAGAAACGCTAGCTAGAACAGAAGGACTTACTGGATGTCCCAAGCTAGCCACACAGTGGAGAAGTGGCCCCATCCAAGCTTCCGAATCACATGGTATCGTCCATTAAAGAGATCTCCTATTTTCACAAGGTGATAACCACCTAGAAAAACAGCGGCAAGTTGATATATCAAGAGATCACGCAAGTGCTGAAGAGCAGGTATTCGGAAGAAGCATCATAACTTGAGGCAGACTTATCTGATGTGTTTAAATTTTTAATCACATAAACAAATGCAAGTGTTTCTCTAATTGGATCTTGCTAGAACAAATACAGTATGTTAGAGGAAGAGCTGTGAACAGCCCTCTAGCTGATCGAAAAATTTTAATATAATTGAACTAAAAAACTGGCTTTTCCTCCTTTTCAATGTAGGTCATCACTGCAGGATCACAAGAGCATTTCCGCAGTGAATGCATCTGAAGCCGGCTAGGCTGACCACCTTTGGAAAACACAGCTTACCACGTTCAGTAACAGAACCTCACAGCTAAACATCAGCATTGCTTTTGCATGCTCTGTCCCCATAACATGAAAGAGTACTACAGCCAAGTTCCCAACGGAGTCTCCCTTGCAACCGCTTTCCTGACTGAAAGGCACTTTGTCATTTAACATCACCACTGAAAACAGGCAAGTTTCCTCCCTGTACCCCTAGTACCTCTCAAGCTGCTGACTATGCAGGAGGATTCCATGATGGAAGCAAAGACATAAAAAAACCAAAGACACAAGGGAACTGGCAGAAAACAGAATGAAGAGAAGAATCTGTGGTTGTTAGGGCATAAATTTTTGTGAGAACCTGGAATTACACCCTAGATTCCAGGCACTTACTATTCAATTGTGGTCAGCAAATACCACCCATGCTTTGCCAGGAAGATTCCTCTCTCTTGATTGACTGGTTCACAAACAAGACAGAATTGCCATCCATTACTTCATTAGCTCAAGCAGCAGAAGTCCCTTTCCTTCACTTACAGATTTCAGTTACAACAGTGACAGCTGCACCGACTGCTAATTCACACAATGGCTTTCTTCTTCCCACTTGCTTTACAACAAACAAAATCCCCCAAATATTTGGGTAGCATGCCAAAAATAATGTAAATGCTTTGAAGTAAAGCACTGAAGTGTAAGAAACATAGCAATTCAAGTTCCTTGTGCTATTTCTACTTTCCATTTTTTTTACACATGTACATGGCATTTGCTACACGCTTCTTTGTCTTATCCAATATATATAATAAATAGTATCACAGAAGTAGTCCTACAAAGCACTGGGAGGTGGGAGCACATATTCAAGCTTCAATTAATTGATCAGTTGAATTTGTATGATCAGTGTTCGGCCTTTTTTAAAGGATCTGCTACATTAAAAAACAGCCCGACCCTTTTGATATTGAATTATATACTGTGGTATTTCCATTTGCTCTGCATTTAGTTTCTACTCAGAGAAATACCGGAAGACTATATTTGCAGACACAAATTTATCTGAAGAATGGATACTAGTATGATGTTCTTCAGAAGAAAAGAGTGAAGAATTTGAAACTGATTTGAAAGCATCCTTTTGATGACAGTCAGAAAGAAACTGAATGTCTACTCGCTTTTCCCAGTTTTGAAAGCCCTCTGGCACAGAGGAAAAGCTAACAGCTTTAAACACACACATTAAAAACAGTTCTGCAACTCAAATCTTGACTGATAAGAAAGGGAGCCTTGGCGAATAGTTTCTCCATTTCACATTAGCTTGAAAAATGTTATTATCATCACACAGTTTCAAAAAACACTTAAAGTGAGAGGGAGTCTATTTTCAATCTCCATAGTAGATGGGAAATCGAGGTAATTTCTTGACTACATTGAAAATCCTGCACCTTAAACAGGCAAGTTCTCACCTTTACAGTAATCATTTGGATCCTCTTGTTCATCGTCATCCGATCCCAAGATTTCTTCCTCTTGCTCTGGAAGATCATTCTCTGAATGAGCAGCAGGGCCCCGATGCTGAGTGTCGGGTCTGAAAGAGAACACACTGCATGTCTCACACATGTTACTCTCCAATTCAGTAGCTTTCATTTCACATGAGGGATTGCTGATAATGGAGGAGATGCAATATTCAGCCTTCAGAAGAAACTATTTTCACATTTAAATGCTTTTACTCTTAAGCCAGTATAAAAGTAGATAGAAACAATTTTTCATATACTAGTGAGAAACACAACTTCATGCCCTAGATTCACTTGTATAGTGGAACAAAGAAAAGACCAGACAAGATAGCCAGTTACAAGCTCAGTGATCCCACCAAAACATTAGTCTCTTTGAAGCGCCTCTCAGCCTTTCATTCAGTAAGGGCTTTGCTAAAGCCAAATTCGTATTTTAAGATGTTACCTCATATAAAACCTGAAGATTTAAATGTTGATGAATGTTATTTTAAAGACTAACATCAATTAATTCTTAATTTTTTTTTCAAAGGAGTAAACTAGTGTTTTAGAACTTGTGCCCTATGTCCCGTTCACCTTCAAGATCAAATGAACATTTAACAATCCTTCTACTTCTAACACTTTAGAACTCTAAAATCCCTAATACTACCCTTGATTTCTCCTGTTCTCATGAAGTAGGCTGCAATTCTAGTTCGCTTCTTCACTGAAGGTCTGAAGTTTGTTACAGTTGTCTGAACTATGGAGAGTGGGAGTATGCAGAGCAGATGTTCTGTCAACCCTTCCGAGAGCTTGTGATTGCAGAGGGATTGAAATCAGGCACCGAGGTGGTGGTGTTTTTTTTTTTTCACTCCCACATTCATAAATAAAAACATTAATTTTGTGTGTTTAACTTTTCACCAAATGTGCTACTCTAAGTTCCTGCTTGTGAAGATCATGTCGGCAAAGGCCACCTCATTGCTCTCACACATTTAAGCTGCGTTCAAGCTCCCCGAGCTAAAACATATTGCTACCTCCCCTGTGCCTCGACTCCTTCGTCATGGCAGCACACTGCTTACAGCCAAACAGCTCATGAAATGATAATACTAACAGGTACGTTATTTACTTTACAAAGTTTAATCATCACTATCCTTTGTACAAAGCAAGCATTAATAACGAAAACAATGCCTATAGCCCATTTGCATGGACAAGATTTCATGGCAAAGTACTGTAGGATATCAACATTAAGCTTTCTTTTCTCAAAAGTACAAGATATTAAAAAAAGCTGGAGTTGTCCAAAGCGGTGGGCAACAAATTTCTTTACAGCAGTAAGGTACAAGCACGAGATAACATTCTTTACAATGTACTTCCCTGTCCGTGTGAATTAGCGGAAGTTTCTTGTATTGGAACTATTGTTCCAGTGAAGCAGCAGATAGAACTGATGCCTTCCACCACCCGATTTCAAATTCAACTCATTTTGCTCAAAGAAGGAGTAACTGCCGAGATAGCCACTGGTTATGCCAGTGGGTATGCTAATGCATGCCAGCTTTCGGATTCAGTTTTTATAGCTTATAACTGAGCTGGAGTCCTGTGCATCATTATCATGGCTGTACTAACTAATCTTAATCCAAGGGACAAATTTATTGCTGCAATTTTGAGTAGTTATACAGCAGAACGAATGTTCAACATTTACCTGCTACGCATGCACTCTGCAGAGCCTTCATACATTAAATATATTAATACACATTAAAACTACGGCCATCTTAAATGCCTGTGGAGCATAAAAGGGAAGAAATCACACATTCCAATCTGATCATGACTAAACTTGTAGTCATTTACAATCTGGAATTGAAGTTCATTAAAGCAAAGAGGAGCTACAAAGGTCATCCCAGGCACAACCAAACCACCCGACATTTACTTCAGTCTGTTGTCAGAGCTAGGAAGTCCTGCTGATTTTTTAATTCAGGAGCAGATAAGCAACACAGATTAGAGGTTCCGAACCATAAAACAAGACTGCCAGACAGTTCATTCCACTGCTGCCAGGCTAATGAGACACTTATTAATAACCCCATAGCTTGATCCAGCCCCAAGATACTTAGTATTTGGATTTTTCCCTGCCATGAGCCCCAGAATTATAAGTCAGGGGTAGGAAGAAGGAAACCAAGGGAAAAAAAAATAATACACAAAGTCTTGGAGGTCAAAAAGCTACTTTAAAACTGCTGCATTCCTCTGGGGACAACTGAGCTACGAATAAAGTCATAGACTATCCCCAAATTAAAAGCAGGTACCAAAGGCAAGAAAGGGTCACAGATAGAACAGATGAAGGGGAGACTGGATGCTCATGTATAACAAATCCTATGGACAGGGTAAAGAGAACCAGAACACAGAACTGGGTAGAAAGGAGAATTTAAACCCAGCAGCCACACCCATAGTATAAGTAGTAAAGACTAATTCTCCCCAATGCTGTTTCAAGATTTTTCACTTTTGTAACTGCACAAGACGTAGAGGATTAGAACGGATTGAAAAGAAAGAAAATTCTTCTTAAGAACCACTGATGCAGACAGAAACATCATGCCATTCTGCAGTCCCAATGCTTTTCAATAATAGTAATTTCATGCATCAAGGAAGAAGTTACTGGAAGGACTAAACCCCATTCTCCTGGAAGCTTTCTGCACCCCTCCTAAGAAGGGGCTGACGAATGATGCTGCTGACAACTGCGTAGACGACACACCCTGTAGTCTGCATCCCAGTCTGTCCTGGAGATGCAAAAGCATTTCACTTCTATATTATAATCTACTATACCAACTAATGCGATAGTGAGCCACATTCAGGTCGTATACATTTCTACAGTGCTATTTCCTTTATGAAATCACCTCCAAAACACATCTCATTCCTCTGCCTTCCTGCAAAAACTCATTAGATGTTATTACATCCCACCGCCTTCTTCCCCCAAAGTGACCACGTCAACTGCAGATACGGATTAAGAGAGACTTAATCTGTGCAGAATATGCATTAATAGCAAAGAAAAACTGATACACAAAACCACAACCCTCATCTGTCTGCTTTGCCCACACAGAGAGTACTCTAAAAGGCAGAAAAGGCTGCTAAAGACAGCAGAAAAAATCCATACTCAGTATTTAACGATGACAGCTGAAACAGCTCTCAGCAATACTGCAAAACACAGATGAAATACATAAAAAGCCTATTAAAAATGGCCAATGGTTTACACGTTAAAAATCAAACATTCTAGGGTACTTTTCTTTATACCCACCTCTGTTCTACTTAAGAACACCTTGATCACCTTTTACTTTTGCTCCCTCAATGTGCTAATTAATCATCAGAATTCACTGGATTTGCAGGGTCTCTCTACAACTACATAGCAATATTCTAGTTCAGGAAAACAATGTGGAACAGCAATGCTAAGGCAAAACGCTAGAGCTTTTACAGAATTCGTGTGAACCCGCACCTAGAGATCCTCCCAAAAGTCCTTATTTTTTTTTAAGAATGCAAATTCATGAGACCAAAAAAAAAAAAGAGGGTAACCTACCTGCATGAAGCACGGCCTCCCATTGATAAAGATATTCCTGAAGACAGCCCAATAGTTTTCGAAAGAGCCATTAAAAATCAGATACCACGCTGTTCAGGAAGCAGGGGGACATCAACGGCAGGCGGAGGGGCTGGTTCTTCTGGAAGGCAGCAAAGCTTTGTGCAAGAGCGAGGGAGAAGAGGGATTTGCCTCCACCACCTAGCTGCAGATGCACAGCACTGCATTGCAGGTAAAGGGCCTGGCAGCAAGGCTGGGGGCTGCTCTCAGCTGATCTTCCTGCAAATTCAGTCATGTTAGGGGCTGAGCATAAATAGATTCATCTCCTTCTCTTGATGTTTACCTGTCTCAACCTTCCCTCTAATGAAAGTAGAAATTCAGTCACTTTGTTTCTTCTTCCTGAACGAGCCGGTTTTATTTGCCTATTCAATAGTCCGCTGGATTCAAAGCTTGGATGAAGACAAGGATCATGGTAATTGCCCACAGTCCAACCCTTTTGATACAGAAACACCAGCACAATCACACAGGAGAGAAAGGGTGTTCAAAGTAAAAAATAAATTTTCTGAAGTAATTCCAAACCTCCCCATCCAGAGTTACAAGAAAAACTTATCCTTTATGCTTAAAAGTAACCAAAAAAAGCAGGAGTCAGATCTTCTTTAAAAAGGTGAACTGAGTATTTTTCACAGCAGCAGGCACTCAACATCATCCTCTAACGATGCAGAAGAATTACCAGCCATTTCCTGTGCCTGTTTATCCTGCTGGTTTATGTAAGTGATAGGGGAAACAAGTCAGCAACCATGTGGCATGGCAAGTTAATAAAGATTTTGCTCTGCTACAGAGGACTGCTGATTAGTGAAAAGACACCCTGAAGCTGGCTCTGCAGTTTTCAACCAAGAGGTTTAAAGAATTGGATTCATCTGATGGGATATCTAAAATATTTTCACCTTAGAAGCTCACAGAAGTTTGAACATCCTTTTAACAGTTTAGCATTGCCAAACCTCTTCACATTAGAAGAGGTGCTAACAACATGCAAAATTTTCCACTGTAGACAAAATTTTGCTCCACATTCATTGAATGTATCACCTGACAACTCTGCTCACCTCTGCAATGCACAGCAGGGACAGTATTTTTTGCAGGAACTAAGATTTCAGTCACTCACTTGTTCCTTACAAAAGGCGTTCAAAGAGTTTGGAAAAAACCACTTTTGTATTCTCTTGCCACTTTCCCACAGAATCACTTATCTGGTCCCTGCACTAAAAATGAGGTAAAAAACGATTAAGAAGCCTCAATCACATCATGTGTGTTCTTACAGATTGGCGCTGAGTTAGATCCAACAGCATCAGGAGGACGAGAAGACGGGAGACCACAGTTGTGCCTGTTACTGCAGACAGTGCAATAAAAAAGTAGTGGTTTTTGTGCTGTGGAGCAACACCACCATGGGCTCCTTCGCTGTTCTCTATAAATCAAGCCACCACAACAGCCAAGTCTCCACATGCAACTTCACCATCAGAACGCAGAACTTGTTTTCTCCACCCCGATAACTTACATAAAACGCTTGAA